TCTGGGTAAAGCACACGTGGTAGAACCGTCGACCGGTGCTTAAAGCTCAGAGGGTCCTTTGAAACTTTACAATTTCATTCTTCCAGACGTGGACGAGCGCGAAGATTCCGCACGGCTCTCGTCCGGATTTTCTCTCTGTCCCCCCTCTTTCACCCCTTTCTACCTCTTCTTTGGAAGACTGGACGACTTTTTTCGTCTCAAAGGACACTGGCGTAGTCACGTAACCAGAATCATTTTACCACCGGTATAGTTCCTCGAGGCTTGTGTAACGCGCGAAACGTCAACTCCAAATCCACTTAGAGCGTCCCTTAGCCTATTAGGCGAGCACGGATGGAATAGAAAAGATCGAAGGTCCAAGTTGAGGAAAAGATTTGTTCCCGCGGTGTGAAGTGGGTGGTATCGAAGGAAGACACGATTTAGCGTCCAGGGAGAATCGAGGGGTGGTAAAGGGGATCGCTGTTTGAAACACGATATTTGGAAACGCAAATGGACCGACTCTGGGCTCAACGGTGTGAACCGTACGCGTGCGCGGCCAACCGAGCCGCAGACCCTCGCGAACAGATATATTAGGGCAATTATATCCGACTTAATTACGCACTGCCTCCGGTCCGCACCTATTTTCAAACGCTGTCGATGCAAATTAGCACCGGCTGAAAGCACGGACCGCTCGTCTTCCGGCACTTGCCGCGACCTACTGTCCCGTTCGGTTCTTCCTCCTTAAAATAGTCGATCTTATCTCTCCTCTGTTGTCGCTAAGCGATCATTTCTCGTACCCTTTGAACCCATCCTCCGACAGCTCGTTCCGCGTACTTCTCCCGGCAGAAAGTAAACAAGTTAGCTTTAAATTAAGCGATCTCTGGGTAACGAGGTTACTACGGAAGGAATTTCTCTAAGCGCTCAGGTGTCACGTGCCTGAAAGGAAAATTATTTTCACTGTGTCCCGGCATGCCGGAGGTGGGGAAACACGTCGATGTACCTAACGGTACCCCACGCTCGTCCACGGTGGTAATTGGAACAACGTTTCACGAGACGGAGGAAACCGGTCGCATAATTCGGCCCCGGTGAATTTTTTTCACCGTCTCGCAGTTCCAGCCGCACAGCAACGCCGCGAGAGCAGATTAAAAGTTTCATCATTTGGCCGGCTTCCGCGTGCGCTCGAGTTTTCGCCGCAATTTTCGGAGCACGCTCGAAGAACGAACAACTCGTATTTCATACTTGAAATACGAGCGTACAGAGAGGTAGGCACGAGGGAGAGTGGCGGGTGGGTGGTGAAGAGAGGGAGGGATGGAAGAATCCAGCGCGTTAGCCTTAATTAGCGCGCGCATGTGCAGCCAGTTAGCGCGGATAACTGTAATACATTTTTAAACTAATTCCCCCTTTGCCGCCTGCTGCTGCCGCTGTTGCAACAGCGAGAGAAACGAAGAGCGTGAACGTGTCTGCGATAAAAAGTTACGTGAACCATGGCGAGAGAGAGAGAGAGAGAGGAGATCGGTGGTATTAAGCGGGCGAGAAACGCGCTCGAAATTGTTGTCGCGCTGGCAATCGAGAATCGTCAGACAGAAAAAAAAGGGGGGCACGGGTGAAATACACGGGGAATGCTGGTGTATCGATGTCAAAAATTCCGGAGCGAGACCGTAAACACGTCGAAAGCTGACGTATCAGAGATCGTAACAGTGACAAAGAGAGATAGAGAGAACAGCTGGGCTATCTAAATGCACCCACGACACCGATTGATGTTACATCGACAGAGATAATGGTGTCCAAACAATGTTGCGCGCGTCAAAAGCAGCCGACGTTAAAACTGTTTGTTGCCGGGCGTAGCGCGCCGCTAATGAGACAATTTCATTCGTCGGGAAAACTCGCGTCCGCGTCGGGCAAACGCGACGGGACGCCGAGCGTCGCGCGTCGGATAACGGGATACGCGCGCAGGTGTTTCGGCCATCGGGCGCCCCCTGCCTCTGGCAAACAGTGCTGAATGGCTTGCGAGGTATTTAACGGGGAGGATCGTTAATGGGGAAAAAAGTCTGGCATCGGTGTTCTAGCGAATTTTTACAGTGAATCCTCGCTGAGAAAGATCAACGTTGTAATAGGATACAGTGTGTCGAAACTGTTCCTGATTACTTTTTATTCCACAGAAAATCACAGGAAATATTCTCTTCGAAATACATTTAAATACACCTTATTAAACTCATTACCGTGAAACGAAACTATCATCGACAAACGTACACGGGCAAATCAGCCGCTGCTCTCGGCCAAATCAATAGACAGAGCACGCATCGAAGCAATTCTCGGTTCGTTGCTACGGCTTCTACCTGGCCAGGAAAAAGAGCACGGCGAGAGAGAGCTCGATACCATAGAGGTACATAGAAGACGAGAGGCTGCAGGTTATTTCCGTGTGCGACGAAGGTGGAGGAATTTGTCCGGGTTTCCCGAGATTGAGGTTTCTGCGGTGGAAGATCGACGCCCGAGTAAATGGATGCCCGTCCGCCGCGGGAATTTTTCGGTGGCGCGGCTCTCCAGGCAGCCCCGCTTTCGAATTCTCGTCGCGCGGACAGATTTTACATGGCGCGCGGCGGTATCGCTAGGCGATATTGGAATCGAAGAACGGCTGAAATTTCGGAATACAAACTAGCTCTCCGCGGAGGAGAAATCGAGTCGCGTTCATGAGAAGCTCTCCTGGTTTTTCCACTGAAAGTGGAACTTTTAGCTCTCCCTTTAGAGCTTTCACGCACGGAAGTCGGCGAATGTTGAAGAGCAGTGAGAGAGAGAGGCAGCAACAAATTGAAACGCGTTCCCGTGCAGAATCGATCTAGCCGCGATTCAAACTCGATTCTCACTCTCATCTAAACTTTCCTCCTCTTCTTTCCGCGCCGTTGTTAACCCTGTTTCGCGCGAAACGCAAACTTTCGCATTCCGCAAGATTGCTACACGGCGTAACGCCTCCGACCTACTACCAAATGAGATCAAACTTTCGCGATTCGAGGCTGCCTTCGGAAAACAGAGGGGCGCAGAATACAACAGGGCCCAGATCTTCAATTAACTCTCGAGATCCTAGCCGCGTCGGTTTTCTGTAATTCTCGCGCGTTTCTGCCGCGCGAATATTGTTGCCCTAGCGAAGGTACCAGCTGGATGCACGAATGAGAGGAAATTTTAAATACTGCACACTCTCGCACGGAGCATACACCTCTACTCCTCTCACGACTATATTTCCTTCGCGTACACCAAAGTTCTTTCGTAGAATGTCCGAAAGAATTTTCTAGAAACCGAATTGCGAAAAGAAGAAAACGTATTTAAATTTTTCTGTAGCGGTGAAACAATTTACAAACGAAAGGGTTGAAACAATACTTTTGCTTAACAGCGATCCGTGTCCAATTTCTGCGAAGCTGAATTGAAGGGCTCGCGCGGAACGACCCGTGTTAACAAAAAATTAAAATTTCAACGCTTCGTTCCCGTCTCTCGATAGGATAAAGGGGAAAAAATGGAGCCGCGAAATGTCTTCAGCTCGTTAGGGACTTAACGAGAAGAAACGCGGCGGTTGGGAGGGACGGTGGAAAGAAGCGACGAGGAGAGGAAAGAGAGAGAGAGAGAGAGGATAAAGCCTGGGCGTACGAGCTGCTCGAGAGCTTTTCGAAGTTGGAACTGCGCTCGGTAATACCGGGCCGACCGAATGGTCGAGTACTAATCCGACTGTAATAATGGTGTACGCGCTCGCAGGCTCATCGCGCGAACGCGGACGCACCAGCCGCTATTACTCCGCTCCAGGCTGGCTCGTCTGGCCGCTTTCAAACTCATTATACGATTTTTAATACATTGCACAGACCTGTGCATCGTTTTCGTCCGTCTCTTTGCTCGGCGGTTCCTCAAAACTGGCTTTTCCGCCGAAAATTGAGACACTTTGAATGAAAGACACTTGGGGCCATTCAAATGAATATACATGCAAGGGGAGAAAGGACTTCTCCCTCCGCACCCTATAGAAATTTCTTCCCTCCACATGGAACGTGTTACCGTCTATGAAATTTTCATTCCGCTAATTTGGAAAATTTGGAAAATTTCCCGAAAGGTTGGACAGTGTAAAATTGTTTGGAATTTTAAGTAACAGGTACACCAACCGTTCAAGCTACAGGTTGCGTCAGCTGCGGGGGTGTTAACAGCTTACACAGGTAGCGGCGATAATTTGGTGTCTGGGTGGGGAAAGTCTAGAAAATTGTACAACATCGTTAGAACATTTCCCCGGCAGATGCACGCCGCGGGATGATTAATCGATGTTTACGACGCGGCGCAAGATAGTAGCTCGGTTCATAATGCATTACGGTTTGAACAACGGCAAACGACAGTGAGGAATTACACGCCCGACAGTGCTGTTACGCGTTACCCGGAGAAATTTATCCGCCGCGAAGACTCTGAAGAGAAAAAAGAAAACAGCCTGTTATTCGTAAAAGTGTTACTCGCGCGCGAGGTGTCGTTCGATTTCCCTATATCGCTCGTTAAAATGGTGAAAAGTAAGGGGGAAGGAGTTCCGTAGAACACGAAGACAAGAAAAGGGGGAGGGAACGGTAGGATAAGGGAATGTTTTAAGCTGTTCATAAATCCAGCCGTTCCTCGTGTCCGCGGGCTTCCTCCTTAGCAGCCGTTCTATTTGCATACCAAAGACTAATCCGCGAGCGGGCCGATTGAAATGAAAATGCACGGTCTCGCCTCGAATCCTCGCCCCTTCTCCTCTCTTGCCTCGAATATCATTTCCTCGTGTGGCGAACAAAGCTTCGACGCGATTTATTCACGCGCTCGTGTGTAAGCGAAAGGGGGTCGTGAAAGTCGATGCCGAAGAGAACGAAAAAAAAAAAAAAAGAAAAAAGAGAAGAAGGAAGCACCGACGAGATTTTCAGCGCATGCAATTTATGCACATTCTCGTTTTTCGAACGCTGACGAATGTTTTCCCTCTGGTTTTGTTACAGCGACGGCGGCCTGGCCGAGGCAGGAGCAGCCGTGCCCGATGGCTGGAGACTTTTGCATGAACGGTGGTACCTGCCTGTTTTTCGAGACCGTGGGTGAACCAGCATGCAGGTGAGCGAACATCGATCGGTTTTCCTTCTGCATAATTGACCCGTCGTCGCGCCTCCAACGAACAACGTGTCGCTTCCGTTCGATCAGGGGCTGGATATCCGGCCGAGGAACTCGAAATATTTCCTAGCGCCGCGTGTAAGTCGTTTCGCGACCATAAGTTTGTCCGGTACAAAGCAATGTACGACGCGTAGACGTACTGAGGCATTGTGCCGTTGCAGGTTGTTCGAGAATTTTCAGAAAGGAAGTTGACAACTTTAAGTATTTTTTCACGAATTCTTCGATGACAGATTAAATATTGATACAAGTGGTCGAAAAGTTTTAGCAGGTAGTCTTTGTCTTTTCTCGAGAACGAAGCTTTAACCCTCTAAATTCGAGCGAGACTCCAGAGTCCCGTACCTGAAATCCACGATTTTTACATTCTCATGCATTCCAAACGAGTAGCCTCCTAATCCCAAGTATAAAGTAGGCTATTTGAACCCTGAAAAAATTCTACGACAAGTTTGAAACACCCCTGGACTTGGAGGGTTAAATTTAGACTAGAAGCAATTCACACGGTACAGAATCTATTGGAAAGTTTGTTAGTAGGAAACGAAATGAAATAGGACGTGCAACACTCGTGAAATTATCGAGTCTATCGACCACGGTAAGTGATAAACGATTCACGTTCCGATAGCTCGTTCCTCGCCTATCGCAGGCTTTACCATCTAGAACGGGGCGCTGCTCGAAAATATTGAAACAAACGACTGCGAAGCGGTTTTCGCGCGTTCCTCGTCCCACCTTCCGCAAAACGGAGATACCAGCCAGTCGAAATTGAGTTTCGCCTCTTGTTACCCTCTTTTTCTCCAACACCTAGGCAGGCAGGGCTCAGCGGACGAGATTGGAAGAGGTCGGAGGAGATTTCGCGGCATGTTTGTTGCCGATTTCGTGGAGCTCGGCAGACACGTTGGGTCTACTGACCTTTCGACCACTCCAGCACATCCCCTCTATTCGCGCTCCAATCGCAATTCAACCGTTTCTTCTTTTTCTCCTCGACGCCATCCATTAAAGAGAACACCTTACCCTCGTCCCTCTTATATTCTATTCTCTCCAGCTTTCGCCTACCGCCCGTTTCCCTCTTCCCTTCTTTATCTGTCTTCTTCTTTTCCACCCTCCACCGGCGGAATACTTCCGCTAATCACACTGTTTGTCCGATGGCGGAAAATAGAACAGTCACAGACGTCTGCAATTTCCATTACCTAACTGCGTAGACCTTCGTTTATTCCGGCTATTTCTCTGAGAATTAGCGAATGGCTCTCTTTTTTTTCGAGGGCGATTCGATCGTCGATCGTCGAACGAAGGAGAGAAAGAGAGAGAGTATGGAACGAGGACTCACCCCCGGAGGCGACGGAAAAAATGAAGGCAACACGGTTGAATCGCTTTTCATATAAAATTCCTTTCAACTGGGAGCGCAGTTTTTTACGTTCAGTCCCCTCTTTACACCTCTCGTCCGCGGAATTCGCCGCCCTCGCGCGAAATTTCCTGCACTTACTACCGCGGGCTCCCTTCTACTTCTTCTTCTTCTTGGCCCCGGTTTCCACGGGTGTGTTCTTTCGAAAATGAAATTTCCTCGACACGATCGATCGCATATATGGGTTTAATTAAAAAAGTTCCAGCCTCGCGATGATCGGCGATCTGTTCGGCTGGCCGGGAATTAGCCGGGCTCGATCAATCACGAAGGAACCCGGCCTCGTTTTAGAGCTGCTGCTTTACTCAGCTTCGTCGAATTACTTCTGTCCGCGTTAAAAATCACAGAGTTACAGAATGAGCAAGGGCGGGGGAAGAAGGGAGAAATGTGGAAAAAAGTTGGCCAATATCAAAGCAAACACTCGGCGGGGCAACATTTCCCTCGATCCTGGCAAACACTCGACCACGTTAATTTCAGCGGAACCAGAGGGGAAACGGTCGTCTCTGCGAACCTATACGCGTCGCTATTATTCCACCGACGCCGGCCAACTTTCCTTCGTTTCCTCTTGTCCTCTCTCCCCTACCTTTCTATTCGTGCCTGTAGAAAAAAATCCAGCTTCCTGGGACACGCGTTCGCATGTGAAAAAAATCGCGCGCGATAATGGCTTACTTTATTTCACCGAGAAAATTACGAACACCGACAAGCTGCGAGAAACGTTGCGAAGTAAATTCCCGATGGAGAAGACAGCCTAATCTGTTCGTATCTACGTGTCGATCGGCGTGAAAAAAGATACAAGAGTATTAATCATATAACAGAGCGTCTGGACGGGCTTCTTTTTGTCGGCGACGCCGTGACGTTGATTAGCCGCTCGTTAAATAAATTCAGAGGACGGTCTGATCCGCGAATAAAAGTGACCCTCCCGGGAAAAGGAGGTCTGCCGCATGTAAAGAGGGCGGAGAGCAAAGGGAAACGCCGTGAACGCCGCTCTCTGCCGTCGCTTGACGAGGGTTTATTGGCTTTATCGAGGAATCAGGTCGTCCCCGGAGGAACAGCGTCCCAGAGAAAAAAAAAAGGAAAAAAAAGGGACGAGCAGACGAAGAGAAAAGAATGGACAATGGACAAATGAAGGTGCACACACCAACCGTTCTCTCCTAGACACCCTAACCCCCTCCCTCTTACACAAATAGCAAAATTGTATTACAACGGTGTGCCTGTCTAGACCTAATCGAAAATCAGGCTGGAAAAGTAATAAATAGAAAGTTGACTAAGGACGATAAGCATAAACGGATCACACGTGCGGTTTCACGGGAAGATAAAGGGTCTCATCGAGCGAAATTTGCTTAAAGCGGGGTGGGCTGGCTGGGTGGCGCTAATAAATCGGCACGGGTGCCGCGCCTGTACCGTGGATTCTCCTTTCCTCTCCACCTGGAACCGACCGTTTCTTTCGGTTGTTCATACTAAATCACGGCTCGTATCTCGGGAATCCTCGATTTATGGATTTCCAGTGACTCGTCTTCTCGCGGAATAAATTTCCCCTCGCGACCGTGATCCCGATAAACTCGCTATAACCCGGCTCGAAATCGCTGGCAAAAGGTGGAGAGCACCAAGAGGGAGCAGAGAGAGAGAGAGAGATGGTAGGTGTGCGCGACGCGTGTAGCTTCCTAAAAAGCGAGCACAGGATCTCTGTGGGTGGATCGAGGGGCATGGAAGGGGTCGATGACCCAGTTTGGCCTGGTTTAAAGGGACGTACCGCAAAATTCCGGTGTACAGTAGGATGGTGAATCGGTGTCGCGAATCGAGCATCCAGTTTATCGCAGCTGGGTCCCATCGCGGCACCCACCCCCTCTTTCCAATCACCAGCCTCGCGGCACTTCACCAAAATACACGGCAAATGCAAAGCTTTAGCGCCCGTCGCCACACCGTCGCTCGTCGCCAGGAGGACGCTCGTAAATCTCCGGCCTCGAGACACTTCATCCCGCACCCTCGATCCATTCAATTCCCGCCTCCACCTGTGCAACCTGTGATTCCACACACGCGGACAGTATTCGCCGATAGAGTATTATAGGAAGGGCAGAGATATCGAGAGAGGCTGAAAGCGGTGGAGAGAGAAGCTTCTTCCTCGAATATGGTCGCTGGAAGAAATATAGCAAAGCACGCGGTGCATTTGATCTCTTTTCGATTAGAACTTCGAAATTCTGACAGAATTTTCGCTCTTAATTGATTATTTCTGAAATCAGCATATCGGGTTATTTCTCGCGGACAAAGAAGTACGCCGGTGGTTGGAAACTTTTGCTGTATGGTATGCGTACGTATGCAACAAAGGCGGGAAATTCCTTTCACGGCCACGCCGCCGGTTAACGCGTAATTGAGAGATAAACGAGCGCAACAAAGTTTCGTGACGGGAGAAATATGCGCGTGGCGTGCGCCCTCCGGCCGGCATTATCGCGCTGTATACATCGATAGAATATTTGAAACGCGTATTTCTGCCTGCGGTTGTATTACGCGCCTATGTATATATATATCGAGGGACAGGCGAGTTGGACGGCTGGGATCGCCGACGGTAATTCGACAGAGGCGAAAAGCTGACGCGCGACGATAACGCCCATTCGCGACGGATAAGGCAGATAAAAAAGGGTGGAATATTAAAGCGGAACGAGCAGGAGGAGGAACCGTGGCTGGCAGGAAGGAAGGACGTGAAGAGGCCGAGGCAGGAGAAGAAGAGAAAAAAAGAAGGAGGAATAAAGCACCCTCTAATATCCAGTGCCTCGACCTCTCCAGCCTGCTTTTTCCTCTCGTCGAGCCGTTTCCGCATAGCCCTGGCCCATATAAGTGAACCAGGCGCGAACCTCGTCACGCGTACACGCGCAAAACCTGTCAGAGAATGAGAAGGCTTCCTTTTTAGACCGTCGCTACGTATTTCGAGAGGAGTCTCTCGAGTCTCGAGGGTTAGATCGTAAAATACAATCGCCTTTAATTATCACACCGTTAACCTTCCCACTTAACACGGGGACATGAATTGACATCTCACTCTACCGTGTAAATCGAAATGGACTTTAGAATTTCTGAGCAAAAAGAATGGATTGAAATTGTAAGGGGAACCTTGGTCCTAGTGGATTGGATGTTGAAACGTGAACATAGAGAATAAAGCGATCGCGTTTCATTCGCAGATTCAAAGTGAGAAAAAGTAAGCCCTATCGCGACCCGATTTATCACTCCACTTCCCCCGGTATTGTACGAAACGGGACAAAGGTACGTAGCGACTAAAAGGACTGACTAGAAGGTTAAAATAACGAATGGACACGCTTTCGGGGCGCATAAAGCGCACGTTTTCGGCGTTTCACTTAGCCCACATTTTTCACGCGCGCCGTGAAACAAGGGAGGGACAGAGAGCGGGTTGTGTCGCATCTAATATGACGCTGTTGTTTTGCATTACGTTAACGCGACAGTTTATAACGCGTCCCTTGTCATACCGCTGTTTGTCCGGGAGATATTTCTGCGAAAACGCGCAGATTTTCATTGCCATTACCGAAGAAAAAAAAAGAAAGGATAGAAAAAA